CGCCCTGAGCATCTTACATTAGATGGATATGTGCGCTATATAAAACTACACTATTATTATTATTACAATCTTAATTAAAGGAGTCAAACTTACTCTAAATAACATCATTATCATTATCGGACAAGGTGCTATCAGCTATTGGCCATTTGTTTACCAACTCCGTAATAAAACTACATTCATACTGTGCTTGGCATAGGCCTACCTGTCAAATGAAATGAATAGAAATGAACCTTAACACATTCCATTTTACAGAAAAATTTAATTAAAACTTTATTTTACTAAAAAAAAAAAAAAAAAAAAAAAAATCCACTACCGCAGCATGAGTATATCTGCACAAGCGCAGTATTCCCAAAACATATATAGGGAATTTCCCTAGGATTAAGTTATAGGCCTAGTATCTGATCCTCTTGGAGGATGGATTACCTTGAACCGGAAAAATGACGATGGGGGACTTAATTAAATGCCATTGCAATATTTTAACAAGATGATAATGATAGGTTGCTACTGCTACATACAAATACTATCAATAATAATCTGAATAAAATTGATAATAGACTTATGCTAATAATTTATAATTTAATTTAATAATACCGATATATATATATACATATATATATATATATACATATATATACATATAATAGGCCTACTAATAATCATAGTGATAACTAAAATGTTAATAATAATATTAATAATAATAAATATAATATTAGTAATAATATTAATGAAAAATTAATAATAATAAAAATGATAATAATAATAATGATAATAATAATAATAATAATAATAATAATAATAACAACAACAACAACAACAACAAGTAGTAGTAGTATTAGCAGTGGCAGTAGTAGTACTAAATATATAGTAACGGTAACGATGACGATTGTGATATTATGATAATGATACTGCTTTTACTGTTAAAAACTAACAACGACATCTGCAATAGCCCTTTTCTTTACTTTTATTTTATTTTTAACTTTGTTATTATTTATTTGCTTACTTTGGTCTAATTTAAAGAAATCTACATTTATTCCAATACAAATATAATAATAATTATAATCGCTTTACTTCTGCATATGTCCTAGTGTGTCTGCTTTTTAAAATGTCATTGTTTTTTTTGTTTTTGTTTTTTGCTTTTTGTTGTTTTTTTTTTCGCTTTAAAATAATTGCAAAAATAAATTGGCCAAAGTGTTAATGCTCGAGAGACAAAATGGTTTTGAATAAATAACCAAATTTCACAAAAAATAAATATTAAACTCTGACCTTGATAGGAAATTTAACAATTAAGATTATAATCCTGTTAGAATTTAGATGGATAGGCCTACTTCAAATTCGGAAAATAGAATGACCGTAGCATTGCAACATATCAAATGAAAATGATATATAGGCCTATCTTCTGATTACAATCATTCAGTCGTATTCGAAATCATCAGGACTATAGATCTCTAACGAAAATGGGAGGATGTCAAGTGAATTTCGATTGTGCTGCAGGCCTTTTACCGTACTTTGTATTTGTAGCTGTATTTGTGTTATTTCCACTTGGAATTCGTAATGCTGTTTTGTATCATAAAACAAACGACTTCATCGACGGAAATTGTACGATTTCAGACTCTTCATTTTATAGTAAGAAGGTCAGATGCGATTGTCTCCTTTGTAAGAGGAAAACAAAAACCTGCAGTCAAATGTTTGTTGAAATTGATGATAATGGGGTAACAAGACGTCTCCAACTTTATGAGTCAGAAGATGACATTGGAAACGAGGTACCGGTATTAAATATTACAAAAATATTACACTTTTTCTCTATTTTAGATTGTTTTTTCACAATAATGTATCATTCCGATTACCATTGTATTGCGTAAATATATATTATTTTTTCAGTGTTTTCTAGAGCCATGCGATACAACTTCGGCCTCAGATGTTGACAAAATCTACCCAATAGGTAAGACGTTTGCTTGTAGCTATCATCCGGATAAAGACGAAGCTGTGGTAAACAAGGAGATACCAAGGTCACGTGTACTCCATTTGATGATTTGGCCCTCTGTATTCCTGGTTCTTCTGATGCTCACTTGCATAGTAGCCTTCAACGTAGATTGATGCAAAAGAAACTGGTGAGAAAGCTTTAATATTGTTACGAATTAGATTTACAAAATTTAATTCTTACTACTGTACTATTTATGAGCGATGCCAAATAAACATTTGTTCATCCTTGTGTATTCAACTCTTTATTATCAATAATATATATTTAATTCAATATA